ATACAATGGGATAGGCTGAAGATAGTGAAATGTAAATGTATAGTGAAAGGCAAATCCTTCATACAATGGGAGAGGCTGGAGATAGTGAAATGTAAATGTATAGTGAAAGGCAAATCCTTCATACAACGGGAGAGGCTGGAGATAGTGAAATGTAAATTTATAGTGAAAGGCAAATCCTTCACACAATGGGATAGGCTGAAGATAGTGAAATGTAAATGTATAGTGAAAGGCAAATCCTTCATACAATGGGAGAGGCTGGAGATAGTGAAATACAAATGTATAGTGAAAGGCAAATCCTTCATACAATGGGATAGGCTGAAGATAGTGAAATGTAAATTTATAGTGAAAGGCAAATCCTTCATACAATGGGAGAGGCTGGAGATAGTGAAATGTAAATGTATAGTGAAAGGCAAATCCTTCATACAATGGGATAGGCTGAAGATAGTGAAATGTAAATTTATAGTGAAAGGCAAATCCTTCATACAATGGGATAGGCTGAAGATAGTGAAATGTAAATGTATAGTGAAAGGCAAATCCTTCATACAATGGGATAGGCTGAAGATAGTGAAATGTAAATTTATAGTGAAAGGCAAATCCTTCATACAATGGGAGAGGCTAGAGATAGTGAAATGTAAATGTATAGTGAAAGGCAAATCCTTCATACAATGGGAGAGGCTGGAGATAGTGAAATGTAAATGTATAGTGAAAGGCAAATCCTTCATACAATGGGAGAGGCTGGAGATAGTGAAATGTAAATGTATAGTGAAAGGCAAATCCTTCATACAATGGGATAGGCTGAAGATAGTGAAATGTAAATTTATAGTGAAAGGCAAATCCTTCATACAACGGGAGAGGCTGGAGATAGTGAAATGTAAATGTATAGTGAAAGGCAAGTCCTTCATACAATGGGATAGGCTGAAGATAGTGAAATGTAAATTTATAGTGAAAGGCAAATCCTTCATACAACGGGAGAGGCTGGAGATAGTGAAATGTAAATGTATAGTGAAAGGCAAATCCTTCATACAATGGGATAGGCTGAAGATAGTGAAATGTAAATTTATAGTGAAAGGCAAATCCTTCATACAATGGGATAGGCTGAAGATAGTGAAATGTAAATTTATAGTGAAAGGCAAATCCTTCATACAACGGGAGAGGCTGGAGATAGTGAAATGTAAATGTATAGTGAAAGGCAAATCCTTCATACAATGGGATAGGCTGAAGATGGTGAAATGTAAATTTATAGTGAAAGGCAAATCCTTCATACAACGGGAGAGGCTGGAGATAGTGAAATGTAAATGTATAGTGAAAGGCAAATCCTTCATACAATGGGATAGGCTGAAGATAGTGAAATGTAAATTTATAGTGAAAGGCAAATCCTTCATACAATGGGATAGGCTAAAGATAGTGAAATGTAAATTTATAGTGAAAGGCAAATCCTTCATCCTTCATACTCGTTTGGACTTGCTGCTTTCTGTACTGACTTATTACTTGGTACAGCAACAAAAATTCCGCAATTTTTTTTTCTAAAATTTTCATGTAAATATAGCATGTACACAAATAATTAATAACTAATAACGTGGTGCAGCTTATCGATCGATTTTATTCCGTTGCTGGCTCCTTATGAGTTGCTGCTTCCGTTACTGACCAGGAATAAAATATCTGCTGTTTTTTTTTCCTATAATTTTTATGTAAATATAGCATGTACACAAATAATTGCTAACTAATTACTTGGTGCAGCTTACGATCGATTTTATTTTGTTGCTGGCTTTTTATGACTTGCTGCTTCCATAACTGGACAGCAACAAAATATCTGCTACCTTTTTTCCTAAAAGTTTCATAAAAATATAGGATGTACACAGATATTACTAATTACTTGGTGCAGCTTATCGATATTTTTTATTTTGTTGCTGGCTCTGTATGACTTGCTGCTTCCATAACTGAACAGCAACAATATAACTGTTGTCCTGTTGTTAAATCTTCCGTAAAGGCAGCATAGTACACATTTATTTGTAACTTATTACTTGATACAGCTTATCGACCGATGTTATGTTGTTGTAGGATGTCTGGGAGTTATTGATCTATTTATTAATCAGCAGCAAAATTTTCATTAATTTGGAACTTTAGAACCAGTATTAAAACACCACTTGATTTTTATAAATATTTTTAATTTTTGATTTTTAGTTAATTTTTTGATTTTTTTATATTTTTTTGCATTATATTTCAGCAACTAATTAGCAACAAATTATCCCGCTTTATCCGCTACGGTGGGGTTGATTGAAAGTTTTTACGGCTCTCTTAATGTAAAGATAGCAATAAATCAATTTTCTCAAAACCGGTTGGAGCAACAAAATCGCGATTTTGGCAACTAATTAGCAACATATTAGCTACAAATTTCTAGATACAATTTTAAGGTTTCTGCTGACTTTTCACTAATAACTTTATAGAGCTGAAGTTACCTAACGAGTATGTTTACCTGGGACAAAAAGTCCTACTAGGTAAGTCCAACTTCGACCGACCGAAGTCAATCGACGCATTCAACTCGGCTGGGTAGCGTTCGGGAAATTAGGGCACATCTTCTCGTCAGGTATACCTCAAAACTTGAAAACTAGACTGTACAACCAGTGCCTGTTGCCAGTGATGACATATGGAACTGAGACCTGGTCCTTCACTGCTGGCCGTATGAGGAAGCTCAAGGTCGCTCAGTGAGCTATGGAGGGGGCTATGTTCGGGGTTTCTCTGTGTGATAACCTTAGAAATGAGGATATCCGCAGTAGAATCAGAGTGACCGACATAGCCCAACGGATTAGTAAGATTAAAGTGGCAATGGTCCGGCCATATAGCTCGAAGAACCGACAACTGATGGGGAAAAAATCTCGAATGGCGGCCTCCTACCGGCGGACTAAGTGTAGGGCGTCCCGCCACTAGATGGAGTGACGACCTGGTGAGACATGCAGGCAATCGATGGATGCAGATGGCATTCCTTGGGGGAGGTATAGATGTTCAGCAGTGGACTTGTGATGGGCTGTAATGATGATGATAGACATATAGAGTCGTTGATGCGTCTTTTAGTGATCGTGTAAATTTTGAAGGACTTGAACGACAGAGACTATATTCATACAATTAGACGTGGTAGAGCCATGCTGCAGATATATTAGTAGTATAGTTGTAGCATGAATGGGTCGGCTCGACCGGGGAAGGACCACGCTCTCACAAAATACTAGCGTTAAACAGCAGCTTAACACAGCTGTTTTTCGTATGGTGAGTGTAGAGAACCGGAGACCCTTTTTTTACTGGAAAAGAGGTATTCCATCTTAGTCCTCACGGGTGACAACGCATCTGCATTTTGACTCGCAAACGAGGATAGATGTATTTAGATGTCTATGAGCCACAGCAACCACTTACAATCAGGTGGACTGTGTGCTAGTTTGACACCCTATTCTATAAAAAAAAAATTCTTTTGTTGATATGACTTTTTCATATAACTACAATTCGATGTTTAGCGCTGTGGTCAAACTATTAATAAATTCAATATTTATGGACAAAATTACTCATATTCACATTATTTATTGTGTTGGTTTAGTGCCAAAACAATCTCAGTATCTGGACCCGTTATGTGGCATTGCAAAAAATCCGTAGTGAATTCGGAGTAAAGCTCATCTTGCCCTTTACAACAACGCCTGGCGGTTATAAGAACTATAAGTTATTACTCTTCCATATATGTGTTTCTATGAAATAAAGAAATTTGTACAGTCATAGGGAAAAAACGACATAACGTATTCTTGTGTTAGATAATACTCTTAACTATATTAAATAAATGGGGAAGTTTAACCGCTTATTAGTAATCTACCCTTACTCTTAACAGTTGTTAAGTTAGTTTCAGATAGAATCCTGTGAGCAATGTTGTATAATAAAGCATTTTAATGCATTACCACCTTTTCTAAAATCACTTCCATATTAAATTTTAAATCTATTTAAAAACATGGCATTTAGAAAGACAGTTTTAAACAATTAATGAAGTTATTTAAAAAACAATATTATTTATGGATTTTTCAATTATGTTTTTTGTAGATGGAAATGCTTAATGTATAACAAAAAGAAATTATAATGTTTTGTTAATTAAATACCTCAATATTTAAAAGTACATTTCAGCGCAGTTTGGCAGAACGTAGTAGTTACGTGGTACTAATTAAATATATTGTATATACATATCTTGACTAAAAATTGAGATTTACAATTTCATTGGTGCCGGCAAGGAATCGGACCCAGCCAGATAGCTCGCGCACCTATAGTTAAATGTCTATGAGCACTTACCCCACGGCTCTTTTCGTTATTTTTACAATACTATCATTTGCAAAATAACCACGTAAGTATATCGCGATTCAAGAAGCAGGAAACAAAAATAAAGAGGTATGATTTGAATAAAAACTTTATTACTAGATATATGACGAAAATATTAATTAACTAATTGCACCGATATTGAAGTCTTTTTTGTTTGCTGTTTTGATTTTTGTGTACGTTAAGTTCTGTGTAGCGATATAATATAATAAGGCATATTATTATGTTCATTCGCTCATTCATAAAACTTGTATAGCTTCCGATAGATGGCGGTATTACTAATCTTTTACGCCATCGTAAAATGCCCTTGCCAAACGTGACGACTAAAGTAAATCTTCTCTAGAATAGGAGACTAGAATAGGAGATATCTTCTACGTGCTATTCAAGAAAAAAAATTTAAATAGTACAGATTCAATTCAATGAATTTATTCTGAAGTGTCAATTATTCAACTCTACAAATTATTACCTGACTGAATATAAAAGTAACCTAATAGAACTATTTTATTCATACAATTACTGTCATTTTTAATTTGTACACTTTGTGTTTTAAAATATGAATAACTTTTATCTAACGATTGATAAATCGGTCCTGAATGATAAATAGTAAAACTCAATTTCATATCACCACATTCTTTTACACATTTATATATTGTAACAGCTAAATATCAGGGCCCGAATACAAACAGTGGAGCGCGATCCTGAAGCTGTAATCGCGCGGTGTACCTCATGTTCTGGATGTCATTTTCCGTTAAAAACTCAACCTTCTGCAACTGTCCGTTAGGTAACAGAACAAAGTACGAACCAACACTACTCTGCACTTCTACAGGACCGTCCAGTTTCTCTGGTTGAGCACTTTCAGTGGCTTCTGTAGTAGTGGCTTCAGTTGGAGTTCCGTTAGTACTGTCCGGAGCCCCATACGTGTTGTCTGGAGCACCGTAAGTCATTGCCGGTAGCTGCTGTTCTTGGGGCAAATTGAAGGGCTGCCCGGTAGGCTTCCAACCCGACGGCGGGTAAGGACCACTTACTAACGGTGCACCGTAAGTATCAGCTGGTGCCTTTTCGTTAGGTAATGTAAACGCTTCACCGGCTGGTTTCCATCCGGACGGCGGATATGGGCCTCCGGCATACGGGCTTTCGGTTTCCGTTGTCGCTTCTGTTGGTGCGTCAGTTGTCGTCGGAGCTACTTCCTGGCGTTGGAACCTGAACCTCGCCGGTCTGTAGCGAGGTGGCTCAGCCAAAACTCCTACAATCAAACAGGACAGAGCGAGTAACTTCATGTTTAGCTGTTGATTGAATGATGAATTTTCATAACTCACAATAATATTTATAGTTGTATGGTCCAGTTTATTATTCTTTGTTTTATCATAAATGGTATCTTATCGAGAAGGCTGTCACAGAGGATACATTAAAGACAGTGGATAGTCCGATCACGTCCTATGTGGCTGACATTGACCCGTTACATCAAAGCAATGGGGATCCATGAATGAGTGTTCAATGTCATCAAACGTTATTAGCATGCGTAATTTAGCCGTATGAAGTGACAAACAAAAGTTATATAACAGACAGATGACATGCTAAAACAATTTTCTCGACTTTTTTAACCGTTGAAGTTCGCCCCGAGCGAGGGTCATCTTTGGTGGATGTTCTTCCTCGTTTAAATTTGGCTCACCAACGTGCAACTTTAGAATAAAGCAGGGCATTCACACCTATTGTATCCCGTAAATCTTGATTGTCTTGTACCGTAGAAAAAGTTTTCGAGAAGAGATACTAAATAACAGGGCGAAGTTCATTTTATTTCATTTTCATCAACACGCTACACCATAACAAACCACAAAGAAAATTAATTCTATTTTTAAAATTAAACAAAAATTGACTCGATATTTTTTTTAATTACATTTTATATTATTCAGATTTACCAGCCAGTATTTACCCTTATTATTCGAAGACAATCGCGTTCTCATTTTGAACATCCGCTGTTCGTATCCAATTTTTCATCTGGCAAGGATTGGTACATTGAAACTTTTAATTTATTAAGTTAATCTATATTGTAAGACACTTTCAAGTAAAGGGTTATTTAGTTAAAGCCTTAAAATTTATGGGTAGTCTTTGCCTTCTGACATTCTCTACCAACCAACCCCGTTATAGGGTACATACACACTGATGAATTTACGACTGATGAAGATTCTGAATAAAAATTCTCATCCGAGAAAATATGAAGTAAACGCACATTTCGAGAGCAAAGTTTCGGAATATTTTAAAGTGAATTAAAAGCACTTTTTAAGAAACGTGAGAAGTGCGTTGAGTTTTATGGGAGTAACAAAATGCTATGTTTTGTTTTGACACCTAAGGCCGAGAACTTTTCAGACTCCTTTCGTAAATACACAAATTGTGTACAATAATTTGATTACAATTATACAGTTTTAAACGAAATAATCGTCTATCTGACGATAAGTGGTTTCTCAAAACGTAAGACCCTCTCTGGGTCACAGTAGTTTAGTAAACTATTAAGTAATCTGTGACAGTAGGGACTCCTTGTATGTTCTGTGGTTGGACCAACTCAATCAACTATACATCATCATTCATCATTACATCCCTTTACGGCACTGTTGAACATAGGCCTCCCCCAAGGAATGCCACAAAGCACGGTCTTGAGCCCCCAGCATATATACATCGACATCCTGCATATGTTATCAGATCGTCACTCCATCTAGTGAGGGGCGACTACACTTCGCTTACTGGTACGAGGCTGCCACTCGAGAACCTTTCTTCTCTAACGGCTGTCCGTTCTCCGAGCTATATGGCTACTAATCCGATGGGCTATGTCGGTTAGTCCGGTTCTACTGCAGATAACCTCATTTCTAAGTTTGTCATGCAAAAACATCCCAAGCATTGCAGCATCTCTCTACAGCTATCATACACCGTATGAGGAATCAAAATGTACAACTACTTCATACTACGTCTGACGCTTGTATTTCAATAGCGATCCGCACTGTATGCAACTTACTACAAATTGATTTGTTACGTGCCTTTCTCTCGCAACTATTGGATTACTAGTAATGATGTTAAGGGCTAATTATGGTTATATTATTATTATCAACTTTTTGAAAATAATGAAATATTGCCTAAAAAGGAGGGAGTTTGAGAAGCGTGTGAAGGCGGCGTAAGAGAGAGAATTCGTTACCCTATTGCGGCCCATAGGTGTTCTACAATAAGACGCGACAATATGAAATAATAAAAACGTCATGGCTTCCGAAAGATGGGCATTTTTACATCTCGTTTTGATAGCTGATAGTCACATTTCACATTTTAGGCAGCCGTGTCACAGTTTATACTAGTAACGACTGCCGACGTTAACCTCTTAATGTAATTGATGGTACTTTTTATTCAAATAGTGTAAGTCACGATGTAAAATTTGTGGAGTGAATAAACAAAAATATTAAATATATATTATATATATTAATATATTATAATATATTACATTTTTCGACCGTGCTTATTGTAATGTTTGCACCGTCACAGCACAGCTTCTAAATTTAGTATTTTTAATTGTGCTATCACAAAACACTAGTGTATAATCACCCTTAATATGATATGACGCGAACAAACAAAAGTAGTGTGACTAAACTTGAATTAAACTTACCTTTCGTCGCATGTCGGACGACGTGCGTGACCTGCATAGTTAAATATTCAGTCCTGGCTCTATCAACATATGAAACACTATTTCCTTACTTAGTTTGAACGTAAAATATGACCTTAAAGTCCGTAGAGTTTGTGTTTCGGTCAACTTTTCCTCTCTCCTACCACAGTGACGACGGTCATGGATCAGGCACATAAATTCCAACATTAACTTATATTATGGACTTATAATATGACTTATGGAACTGACCTATGGAACTGAAACGTCGTCCTTCACTGCTGGCCGTATGAGGAAGCTCAAGATCGCTCAGCGAGTTATGGAGAGGGCTATGCTCGCGGTTTCTCTGCGTGATAAACTTAGAAATGAGGGTATCCGCAGTATAACCAGAGTGACCGACAAAGCCCAAGGATTAGTAAGCTGAAGTGGCAATATAATAGCTCGAAGAACCGACAACCGATGGGGAAAAAAGGTTTTCTACCGGCCTCGTACCGGCGGACGAAGTATAGGGCGTCCCTCCACTAGATGGAGTGACGACCTGGCAAAACATGCAGGAAGTCGATGGATGCAGGTGGCTCAGGACAGTGCATTGTGGCATTCCTTGGGGGAGACCTATGTTCAGCAGTGGACTTATGAAAGGCTGTAATGATGAATGATGATGATGATACCCATCCGCAGTATAATCAGAGTGACCGACAAAGCCGAAGGATTAGTAAGCTGAAGTGGCAATATAATAGCTCGAAGAACCGACAGCTGATGGGGAAAAAAGGTTTTCTAGTGGCGGCCTCGTACCGGCAGACGTAGTGTAGGGCGTTCCTACATTAAATGGAGTGACGACCTGATAAGACATGCAGAAAGTCGATGGATTCAGGTGGCTCAGGACCGTGCTTCATGGCATTCCTTGGGGGAGGCCTATGTTCAGCAGTGGACTTGTGAAGGGCTGTAAAGATAAAGATGAACTTATAATAGTTCAATGTAGATCGACTTCCTAGATATCTAGAGGTTTTAAGCGAGACTACTTATCATGTGGTTTGTATCTTGGGTCGGGCCAAACTCAGTTAATGAGTTTTCCTCTCAAGAAATCGTCAGTAGGTGCCCAGAGTCAGAAAGTTGGCGGTGTTTCACTCGCGTATATCGAAAAGCATGTAAAGCCGTTTGTCCAGTGCCTGGTCTCTTTCAGGAATTGCTGTTCATCGGATTATGGGAGTATAATCCTATCCTGCGCAGATGGCTAGTCTCTATTGCTGCTGGCCGTCGTGACCTAAATTCGATCTGCAGAACATTATTAATCATTAGAATGACTTGGTGTAACCAGTTGCATGAGCAAGGTTAAGACATCTCGCACTTAGGCGCTTCTCTCGTCGATGTAATGTTTTACCGACACCCAAAAGAAAAAAGTGAGGACACTCAGTGCATCACCGTACAAGAACTAGTATAGATTTTCAACACAACTGAATTCATCTAAAAGTAATTGGAGTACTTTTAGAATTGGAACATTTTTAATATACTACGATAGGCTATTTTCGCCTATCTTGGGCTTGGATATGAATGCCATTACACTTTTAAGAAATCCTTTTATCATCTTACACTTTTGAGATAACTTAATTGAGATGTCTGTTTGAGAAAATTCAAAAACTTATGCGTTTTAATGCGTAGGTAACCGTTCTAAGTCCGAGTAATCGTCACATTCACTTTGTTAGATAATTTCTTGGAAGTAATTTCTTCTATCCGTCATACTATTTTGATTAATGCACGCAAAATACGCGATTAGACGGGGAATTGCGGAAAACAGCCCATTTATTCAATTCAAACTTTTTTATTTATTGTTATAAATGAGAAACAAGATGACCTTATTAACGTAAAATATAATTAAATAACAATTTTGTTACACACTTTGGCACTACAAGAACGGTAAGAGCGAATGGAACGTTTTTTATCCTTTTAAAAACGTATGAAATGTTGCCAGTGGCAATAATTAATAAAAAAACTATTGTCGTTATTAATTCTATCAATATAGCACATTCATTTGATTGCAGAGAGTAATAGTGTTCTGTGTTTATTATACTTTTTATTCATTTAAGTATATAATATGATCTTTTATTACCTCCGCTGTATGTTTTTTAGGAATGTATTTAATAGATATAACTCATGAGATAAAATTTTGTTTCATTCTAAGTCCACTAAATGAAATAATCAACGTACATACATAACAAGAACGAAAATATCTTACAAAGAGGTTTATTGTACAAAAGAATGTATTGCGGTTGTTTTGATAAGTAATTCCAAATTCAAAACTTCTGCCCCGCGTTAGATTATGTCCTGTCAACAGATCCATTGTGTTTATTTAAAACAACTTTTCGGGCACAATACGAGTTGACAAACAATCAATTCTTATTGTTACTGGAAATAGAAGGATAATATAAATTAAATAAAGTAAAGCTAAAATCGAGTTTGGTGTGACATTAGCGTAAAGACTGGGAAACAAAAAGTACGTCTGTTGATAACGTGTGTTAATTTCGCCATTCTTAGCACAATCATGTTGAGGCTGGAGAGTTTATTTTTTTTAATTTATGGCGATAAACAACGATACAATACAATATTTTATCAACAATTATAACTTCTAATTATTTTGACACCAACACC